TTCCTGCTCCACACAGACTTAAACTGGCAGTAGTCATGACGTTTAATCGGGGTGATAAAACTAAATTGTAGAGGGACCACAGCTAGCGTCATAGCTATGTCACTGGATTCCCATGTAGTCAACCATGGTTCAAGTCCCGGACCTGTGTGCGTGTGTGCCCAAGATCCTGAGAGGAGAATGGAGGCGAAGGGATTGGGGCGTGGCCATCCCCCCTGAGGGGTGATTTCTCACTTTCTGTCTCTCTGTCTCTGTCTGTCTTTCTGGTGAGTATACATGCCCTATAGCAAAAAACTCTAAAAAAAAAGAAAGAAAAAAGAAAAGAAAAAAAAAAAACCTACACTGTGGGTCAACTGCTAATTCAGGAGTTTGATCTGACATTCAACCTGCTTTTTTCATCTGACTCCTTCCCCAAGAATCGAGGATCCTTGATTTATGATGGTGTTACATCCTGACTAACCCACCACAATGTCGAAAAATGAACTCCGGCCACCCTAAACCAGGGTTGTCCGCACTGGCGTGCACCTTGGGAGCATGCTGGAAACGATTCACGCCTGTGAGTGGCTTGGGTTTCCACTTTGTGCTGCGTCTTCACACGAGAGCCATCGATTTGCACAGGGAAATTCCACAACGCGAGGTCCGTCTCCCGGGGTCTATTGTTCTCTGTTCTCTTTGCTTTTCTCCACGTGTCAGTCTGATGTGACGCCCGGACTGACTGTGCTGGCACCAGGGAGGAGCTAGGGAACCCTAAGGGCAGCACCAACACAGGCCTCCGGGAGTCACGGCTGAGGGGAAGCCCACAGAGCCCCGAGTAGCTGCTGAGGCCCCGCGTGGTCCAGCACACATGCACACATGCACACATGCACACATGCACATCCCCGCTGCAGACTGAGCTCAGGTGGAGCACACAGAGGGCTGCAGTCAGGGAGGGGACGCAGTGGGACACAGGAGTGATGTCCTAGGACTCTGTACCCTCACGGCCACCGCTCAGAGGTGCCCATGCCACCTCCTTACACGCGGGACTCAGCCAGCAGCCGGCTCCCCCAGGACTACACAGCCGAGGAGCCTGGCTCTGTGAGACCCGGGGGAGAGGGAGACTGGAGGAGCGTCCTGGAAAGAAGCGGCAGTGTGTGGAAAGGCCCAGGACGAGGACGAGGAGGCCCACACGGTCCCTCCTCAGCGGAGACAGAGCCCGCTGTGCCAGGGAGGCCAGGCTCAGAGGAGACCCGCTGGGTGGCACCACGCATTTTCTAAGCTCCACCCAAACCAAGATCCAAGACGGTAAAAGTCTGGCTGCCCTCGAAGGCGTGGAGGCTTTCCGCCCTCACTCTCCAGGGGCTCTGCAGCAGGAAGTGTTTGGGACTGCTGTCATTTCAAGGGGCATTTTAATTTTCCAGCTTCAAATCAAGATATAAGAAAGTAAAATCAATGGCAAGACCCATTCTCCTTCACACTCTGCAGGCCCCGGCTAGGTCACACACGTGTCCCTCACCACACTGCCGTACACCACACTGGCGCCACGGGAAGTCACCTCAGGGCTCTCCATCCGTCACCCTACAACCCCCACGTGACCAGCCCCGAGAACGGGCGACGTCATCGCCACCACACCTAACTCTGCACGTAAAACCAGAGCGCAAACCATCAGAACCTCGCACAACGGGCTTCCCCTGCATGGACCCGGGGCCCACAGCACCACTCTGTGCCCGGGAACGACGCAGCAGCTGTGGCCAAGGTGGGCCTTACCTCGCAGCCGCTGAGATCGAGGGAGACCCCCTTCAGGCTGTGGTTGCAGGCCAGGCCCAACAGCAGTGCCCTGCGGGAGGAAGGGAACGCATCAGACAGCTGTGGCAAGTGGCGCCCAGGAGGCAGGCGCGCTGACTCGCCCGGAGAGGGGAGCACCTTCCCGAGCCACAGGGGGAGCACCGAGATCCTCTGGCTGTTTGGAGTGCCCCCCACACCTCTGCCTGCCTCTCTCTGGCTCATGAAAGAAATAAACTTATTTTAAAAACAGAATTTTGACCTCTTAAAAAAAGACAGAAAAAAAGCAGTTAACCAAACAGACGAAGATCCATTTCCCAGCAAAGTGGCACGGTGGACCCTCGTTTGGCCTGTCATGAGACACACGGGACATCGCGGAGTCACGCTCGGCGGGAGAAGAGCAGCCAGGCAGGCCGAGCGTGTCCCGTGTGCGCGGCCTGTGCTTGGAAGTGCCTTATCTAGGTGCAGGATTTGGCCCGAGAGCCCTGAGCACCGAGCGTGGCGTTCCTTCTCAAAGTGGGGCAAGAATTAATTATCCTCGAACCTCAGTCTAGCTGAGAATTAGAACTTGGCCCTACTCCTGCCTCGGGGCGTGAACCCTGCACTGCCCAGGGCGGTCAGAAGCCAGGACGGCTATGAGGACTTGCTGCCCACGACCACATGGACAGCCTGCTGGTGCGTGCACACGGCCACTGAGCACGCGTCACCCACACGCAGGCCCGGCTAGGACACACCTCCAGGGGCAGGGCGGAGGTGGGCCTGAGGGCAGCCATGCCGGGGACATCTCTGGACCCCGCAGTCACAGGCCGAGGAGGGTTTGATTTTCACAGAAAGCCAAGGGTGTGAACAGCGCCCCGCGTGCTTTGAGAAATGCAATTACTCCCTGGCCCACAGTAAAAAGGTGCTGGTGTCTCTGCCTTCCTGGCTCAGATAACACCTCTTCCACCCTTCCCACAAGGGCAGCTGTAATAACACACTGAACTTAAACCCACGAGGAGCATCAACAACCCACTCACTTCAAGGGCTCAGGAGACAGTTTGGTGCCTGCAAGGTTGACGTGCCGCAGCGCCAGGGCACTGCTGAAGAACCGCTTGAAGGACGGCGGCACCTCTCTGCCCTTCCTGGAACACACGGGTCAGGCAGTCACACGCAGCGAACGCTCCCGTCCCCAAGTCGCTCAGATTCTCAGTGCAAATTCAGATAAAATAAAGACGCCTGACACCTACGTGGAAAAGCCCAGCCCTATCGTAGGAACGCGGAGACACAGTGCCATGTGTCTCTGGGTCACGTAAGCAGCAATGCATTCCTCACATCGGGGGACTCACTGCCCATTACCCTTCAGTCTTCAAACACTCCATGTTTGCAACTTTTTAAAATAGGTGGTCAAAGGGGACCAGCAGGTGGCGTGGTGGCTAAGGGCATTGCACTCCCACATGGCCCACCGTGGCTAGAGTCCTGGCCCCGGTGGCTTGCTTTTTCACTTTCCCACTCTCTTTCTCTCTCATTCTGTTCCTCTCTGGTCAAATTGAAATGAAATTTGAAAGTTAAATAAAACTTAAACAAAATAACTTTTAAAATGATAACAAATCTAATTAGATAATAAATACATTTAAAAAATAAAATAGGTGATCAAAGAAGTAACTTCTCATTCGTTTAAAGAGCTTTCCCACCAGGTGAAGGGGGATGCTAAGGCCCTCCCCAGCAGAGTCCTGATCCCCACTGACACCTGGCCCTTCTCCCTGCGCTCTGCCCCCTCCCCGTCGCTCCTGAGTCTGAGTCCTGCTGCCGGGGTGTGTGTGTGGTGGGGGCGAACCCAGCCCTCAGCCGAGTTCCGTACAAACTGAAGTGCCCGAGCAACGAGCAGCGGCAAGATTGCTCTCGGTCCCGGAGCCACTCCGCCTTGTCCCAAGTGCCCGCTGAGAACACCTACGGGGTTTCCACAGGTCCTCGCTGCACAGAAAGCACCCGTCCCCCGAGGGCCGGCACTGGCATGCAGCTCACCACAGGCTGCAGTCGGGCACACGCTCACCGATGAGGCCTGCCCGTCACTGGCCGCTGCCGGCCCTCTCCCCTGCACGCTCTGTGGCCTTCGCCCCGCAGCCCTCCCTG